CCCCCACCCGGTTCCTTGTACTTCGAAGCACCCCCCTTCTCATTTCCTGGCAGGAAACTTGTGGCCGGTGATAAGACAGAAGACAATGAAGGTGGGGTCTTTAGACCGGAGGCCTTACAGCCAAAAACAAGCCTCCCTGAAGGAACTCGACGCCCCTTGGGGACCTAGCCAGGCAGCCATCAGCTAAAGCAGGACACACAGGGAGCCTTCAGGCTGTGCCTGCTCTTACCCAGGCCTCTGTGCAGTTCACTGACGCCAGAAAGGGTTTTCACCAGGAAACTACTTGCTCCCTCCAGGGGCCCCAAGGACCGACTCCAGGTCGCTTATAATTTCACTTTGTAAAAGGTACAGAGAGGGGAGGTGGTTTAAAATACACAGGAATGGACACAAGGGAGTCCAGCAAATGCTCTCTGTCCCACCCTCTCAGTTAGAGAACTGAGGAGAGCCAGAGGCTGTTCCTCTCTCACCCCTGGGTGTCTGTTGGAACAGAAGCCCCTGTCCCAACTGGACATCCCTTTTCTCATGCAGCTTCTTGGGTGCCACTAGTATAGGAGTGGGCAATGGTTGGGTCGGAGCAAAGGACACAGGAGCCCAGAAAAAGGATCATTCTGGCTCACTGAGCCCAGAGTGAGGAGCAGGGAGGGCTGAAATGGGCCTGCTCCCCAGGGCTACTATTTTTAGTTTCCCTCTTCTCTGAGAAACTCCCCCTGCAGGCTTCTCACGCCCCAGGGGCATCAGTCTGAGCTGCCTAGGAGGAAAGCAGGGCAGGAGGATCTTACGTCAGGGCAAGCATGCAGGCCTAGCAGAGCCGGGTGCCTGCTCCATGTGGGTGGATTTAACACCCCAATGCTGGGTAACCCCGGGGGTTGCCTGTGGGAACAGTAAGTCTGGACCTTCAGTATGCAAGCTTAGGCTCAGAGCTGGGGTTGCAAATGAGCTGCAGGTGAAGCCCAGATAACAAACACAGCTTTTTTTCTCCTTGGCTAGGAGACCCACCGTCAGTGAGAGCAACAGCGGAGTGCAAAAGGGCAAGGAGCTGAGGTTGAAGTTGGGGTTGAAGCAGAGCTGAGAAGTTGAGGTATCCCGGATGGGGTCTATCAAATCTAGATAGCAGCAAGCTATCCAGGCTTTGTTGTGGCTGAGGGCCTGCTCAAGAGACCCATTTGTCTGGGAATCCTAGTACTTCATGCCCTAACACCACTGGTGCAGAACCAGACCAAAGCAGACAGAGACAGGAGCTAGGCAATACCATCATTTTGGCTGAATTTCACTTTGTGTAACCTCTTTCCTGTCCCCACTTACCCTGTCTTCCTCCAATCTGAGAAAAATGGGTTAAAGTTGAGGTCCCCAAACCTAGACGGGGCTCCCTGAAAGGGAATAGCAAAATAGCCTGGAAGGCAGCAAATGAACATCTTACAATGGGCTTTGTTCTTATGGGGTCCTTTTTTTTCACCAGATATAGCCCTGGGCTACCTCAGCTCCCAGGGAAGCTTGGTGCTCCTCAGGCTTTCAACACTTCTCCAGCCCTTGCTCAGAGAGGTTCCCTTCTTCTCCCGTTAACCCCTCTTCCCTTATTTCCCTTGTTCCTTTGTCTGGGAAATTAAAGGGGTGGTGGACCTGGAAGGGGAGGGGGTGCCATAACTGTTCCTCACAGCTTTTGAACCCTTCCCCCATTTCCTGTGTCCAAACGACCTCCCGGTCATGCTTTTGGGGCACCTCCCATTATTTCCAGGGCAGGAAGCAGGAGGGGAGAAGAGGGAGGAACTGGGTTGGGGAACTGACGTGAAGTACGTGTGTCAAGCCCAAGGTCCAGGGCATTCTCCTGGGATCTTGGCACCAGCTTGTGTGTGGGGTGGGGGCACACACGGGGACTAGAGTTAAGTCCTTAAGCTCTTTAGTCATTTTCTCATCTATCTATCGCCTTAGCTCATCCAGCTTTGCAGAGCTGGGGTGGAGAGTAGTGGAAAATGGTTCCCTAACTCACAACACGGGTAGCAGGGTCTCACCTGGAGACGCCCTTATCGAGGGGAGGTAGGGAGTGGAGGGGGAATGGTTTCTGTCTCATCCGTTATCTGGGTCTTGCCTGGAGAGGCCCTTACTCCGGCAAACTGGGAGCTGTCCCTTCTTCAGTGGGGAGAGAAATCAGCACCACCCGGTGATGCCGAGGGAAATGGGGAGGACAGCAAGAGTGCGAAGCAAGAGTCCAAGCCAGTTTCTCATCAGTGCCCAAAGTCCTCCCTCAGGGTCGCATTCACCCATCCTGCATCCCAAGTCCCCTCTAGGTCCCAGGTTTGACTCACCGAGAGTACTGAGCCCCAGGAACAAACACAGCGGCCAGTTGGTGGCAGGGGCTGCAGGCAGGGAAATCATGACCCTCCCTGGCCAGAACGGAGTCAGGGGCTCTAATTCCGAGACACACGGTCCGACAGGTGCCAAGGCTGCGAGACAGCCCGAACGTGCACTGGAGCCAAGCCACCGACCGTCACCAAGGGCGGCTCCAGCCCAAGTCCGCTCCTATTGCGGGTGGTGGGGTGGGGACCGGCGGAGATAGGGGGCGGGACATTCGAAGGGGCGGAGAGGTCAAGCGCTCCCAGGCTGGGCGAGCGGTGACCCGCGCGGGGTGGGGGTTGGGGATCTTCCAGCACTCGCAGGGCCGGATCCCGCCGCCTCTCCCGGGTGAAGCTGCAGGCTAGAGTTGGGTAAGCTGGGTGCCTCTGGAGGCTTTCAACACTCGAGATGCCCCTGGAGCCGGCCAGGCGGGCCAGAAGGAAAAAGGAGGGTCCTGAACCATCACACACACCCCGCCGGTGCAGGGGAGGGCTACTGGAAAGCGAGGCCGTTTAGGACAGCTTCAGAAGTCCGGGAACCTCCCGCACCCCGACACTAAACAAGCCTTGAGGCTTCCGCACGAATAACTGATTAACAAGGGCGGCCTTCGTGAAGGACCGGGAGGCCGAGTTTTCTCAGGGCAACGGTTCGGCAGGGTAGGAGCGCAGCGAAGGAAGAAGGCAGCGCGCCGCCCGAGTCTGCGCGATCGGACGCGGTCCCAGGGCTGCCCCGGGGGAGGCCTGGGACAGCGCCGCGCGGCGGGCACGCGGGGACTGACTTCCCCTCGTGGGCAGGGAGCACCGAGGCTCACTGCGGGTTTTCACGAACTCCTTAAAACCCAGGCCCGAAGGTTACTTCTACCCGGAGCTGGGAAGATTGGCCTAAGGTCTCCTCAAGAGCTGAGCGGGAGACAGACCAGTCCTGTTCCCAGCTCCTCATACCTGAAACAAAGTGCTATAGGCATAAAACAGACTGGGGAGGAGGGGAGGCTGCAGGAGGGTACACAGGACAAAATTTTCCGTTTCTTCTTTATTCCCGGGATCTTCACTGCCTCCCATCCTCACAGTGAGCAGCTCAGGCCCGCTCTGATCCTTTAATTCCCAGGACTAGATCTTGTTCGCTGTGAATTTAATTTAACCGCACCCCTTCTCCATCCCCCGCCATGTGGTCAAAAGCATCTCTGCGCCCTCTGCCGGCCGGGGCTCCTCCCACCCAAGGGCACTCACCTATTCATGCTTTCCACCCAACAGCCCCACCACCACCACCACCCCACCACCACCAAGATTCAAATCTTGGTCTGAAGCAGCGCTTCGCCAAGGAGCAAAGGTCACCCAGGGCAGAAAGCATAAGCATTGCCCACTGTAGGGGAACACGGTTGTTCATGAATAAAAGCAGCCAGGCCTACTGGATTCTCTATACTCCATTCACGCAGTTGTGGTGTTTTGTTTGTTTGGTACCGGGGATCAAACTCAGGCCCTTATGCTTGCAAGGCAGGAGGCAGAACCACTGAGCTAAATCTCTGGCCCACTTGTGGTGTTTTGACACTGACCTTGTGCGTATTTTTTCCGCCCAGTAGAGTGCTATAGACTTTCAGCTTTTCAACTGCTTTCCTAGTGTGACCTTCCTGGTTCCTCTTCAAATACTTGCCATGCTGTGGCTCTGAGAAATGCCTATGCAAACACTAGACTGCTCATGCCATCCCTGGAATCTAATACTAGGCAACAGTGCTAACTACAAGCCTCACATCCTTCTGCAGGAATTTACAAAACTTTGGATTGTCAAGATTGGGGGGGGCAGTCTGGTGGTTTGGTTTTCCTGTCATACTAAAATTTGTCTTGCTTTTAGTCTGCATTTCAAAGGAACTCTTGTAAATACCCTTCTGTAGTTTCAAGACCAGGGTTAAGTCACCCCAGGTAACTTCCAAAAAAAAAAGCAGTGCAAAACACTGTTTGTAACCTGGGCATGCGGCAGCAACAGCTGGCCACACAGGTGTGCTCATCCCTATCAAGCACTTAAAGTATGGGTTCAGCATTCACTCTCTGTAGCTAACTTCCCTGCAGAATCCAGATCTCCACCTGCCACACAGGAAGTGAAGCCACAACAAAAGATCTGTGCACAGTGACTGTTTCCATGTGAAATAGCAGCAGTCTTTTCAGGACTTTTACCCCAATCACAGCATATCTCACTGTCTCTTATTCCATCCACTTTTTTTCAGAGCCTGAGGGAATCAAGTAGTAGAAGTGGACAGAACATCTTCATTGCTCTCCAAATTTGGGCCAAGATGCATTTTAGGGTAAATATTGCTCTTTACCCTGGGGTACAAGAATGCTGACACAAATTATCCTTGCGTGACCTGGGAATTGATTAAACAGGTTGTGTGCAAGAGTTAAGTTCTTAGTGCATGTTTCTTTAGATCATACATCTCAGATTGTCCAAACTTTTCCAACTACTGATTCTTAAATTTGAATATTGTTATGGATTATAACCCTAAAGTTTCATGCACTCATAGGTGGGCTTTGGGGAGGTGACTGGATCATGGGTAAATTAATACTCATCAGTGGATCAGTTCACTGATGTGCTTACAGCTAAATGTGTTGGGAAGTGAATCCTGATTGGGTGGTGGTGGGTCAATGGGGCATGGGTTTGACTGGTACACTGTATCTCCATTCCTCCTTCCTTGATCCCGCTCTCTGCTTCTTGTCCATCATGCCATAAGCAAGCCTCTGCCATGTCACCCTACCTTGCAGCTATTGACAAAAACCTCTGTAAACTGTGAGCCAAATTAAACCTCTTCTCCTTCAGTTTGTGAGTGCTGGGTATTTTCTCAGCAATGAGAAAGTAACTAAGATAGTATTTGGTGCCAAAGAAGTGGGGTCATTGCTGCAAGGCTGCCTGACCATGTGGTTTAGAAACCCTTGGAATTAGCATACCGGAATTTAGACAGGTTTAAAGAGGCAGCCATAGAATGCTGTGAGTGGAGCTTGATGGGAGTCAGACTGTTGACTGCAATGCAGCTGGAAAATAGCAGGTAGAAAAGGTTTTGGAGGCCAGGGTTAGCTCAGCAGTTTGGTGGCCTGCGTTGCAAGCACAAGGACCTGAGTTCAATCCCTGGTACCAAGAAGAAAAACAAAACAAAACAAAAAAAAAACGGTTTTGGTCAGGAAGGACTCCGACAGTTGGACTTCAGGCCATATGTGTTACGCTCTAGTTAAAAATTTGTCTGTATTTTGCTTATGTCCTAAAACTTTGGGGGAGACTGAGATTAAGGGTAGTGGACTAATTAATCTGGTGGAGGAAACTTCAAGGCAGCCAAACATTCATGCTGTGGCTTGAGTAGTTTTGGTGACTTTTAGCCAGCTCCACATTATGAATCAAGAGCAAACAGCCCAGTAGAAAGATTTTAAAAGTTTGGAGTTTGGCCAGAAAAGTCCAATAAAGTTGGGGCCTGCAAAAATGGAATAGAGAACTTGGTTGCTGAAAAGGTTAGTATTAAAAAGAAGCCCTTCCACCTCCTGCCTCGCAAGTGCAAGGTCCTGAGTTTGATGCCCAGTGCTAAAAATAAAAAAATAAGCCCTTAAGTACTATGGAACAGGACAACAGGAAAAATGCCTTGAGGAAATAAGGCTCCACTTTTTGTAGGCTCAGAGTTGCAAAGGCAAATGACTGCTCTGAGAATAAAGCCAAGAGCACATGCTCCAGAATGGCAGCAGACTAAGGAATGGGAATTGAGTCCTGGGACTCAGTTCACTGTGCTCAACCATCCGGGCACTGAGAGGCCTCTACAACCACTAGCAAGACTCAAAAGGGCTCAGCTACTGCCTTAGCTAGCAGCAGACCTAAGCATCATCTATGTGGTGCTGGCTTTAGGCACATGCAGAATGTGAGTTATAGAATCAGGGAAGCATCAACCTAGATTTCAGAAGGCCAGGCAGTGAGTGTGCCCCTGCAAGGGTAGTGTGTGAAGCCAGAAGTGCAGTGATCTCAGGAACATGGATTATATGAGGAAAGCTGCAAGCAGTGAGCAAATCAAGCCCCAGAGAAGCCTAGTAGGCCACTTCAAGCAGTGCCATAGGGGTGGGGCCATTCAAGCCCTTTGGAGTTCACATCTCACAGACTGCCCCAGGTGCTGGACATGGAACTGTAGGGGACCAGCTTGAAACTGCACTGAGCAGGCTTTAGATATTGATTTGGCTTATAAATTTGGCTACTGATTAAGACTGAGTCTGTCCAAGGCCTGAGTGTGAATTGCTGACCTTTCCACTGGTGTTTGGAGATAGATTTCCCTATTCCAATGTCACAATGATCAATGAAGTTGTGACATCTCTATTAGCAAGAAAACACTGCAGCTGAGGAACTATGGCTCTGTGCAATCATTCTCTAACACTGAACTTTTAAGTAAGATAATGCAGATGGCTCGTTAGCTATAACCAGTAAGACAGCACAGGTGCCTTGTTAACTGTGACCTGTTCTTCACAGGTATATATAATTACGCCACTCTCGCAGCTCGGATCATTAAATGCATTTATTTCTATTCATTACATCTGCCTTCTTGCCCCATTGCTATGTTGTATAATCACAAATACTGACTAATCCAGAGCTCATCATCTTAGCTATGACAGCACTAAGATCAGGTGGTCTTTAGCCAGGAGAGTGCTAAAGATCAATTCCTAGCCCCACAAGTAATAAGCTATCATTCGTTCTTTATTCTTTGTATATTATTCTTTCATTCCCTGCTGTACCCTCAATCAGGTGACTGGGCATCCCCCAGTGACTGGTCGGGCTATTAGCCATGACATGGAACCACAGGATTTAATGTTTGCCTGTTGGGTTTCTGTCTTGCTTTTGCCCAACTGTTTTTTATCCCATTTCTCCTTTTTGGAATGTGAATACTTAGCTTATACCATTTCATGTTGGATGTGCTCAACTTTTTTTTTGCCCCCAGTGCTGGGGATGGAACTCTAGTTGTCCCCTTAAAGCTGCACACTCTCATAGGTGGTACTTTGGGGACTAGATCACAGATGCATAACTCATTAGTGGATCAGTTCACTGATGTGTTTATAGCTAAATGTGATGTTGGGAGGTGAAGCCTGATTGGGTGGTGGTGGGTCACTGGGGGAGTGGCCTGGAATGGTGTATTTCCCCTCAACCCTGTCTGCTTCTTGTCTGCCATGCTACAAGCAAGCCTCCTCTTCCATGCTTCTCTTCTGCCTTGGAGCCAACTGACTATGGACTGAACTTTCCATAAACTGTGAGCCAAAATAAACCTGTCCTCCTTCAGATTTGTGTGTTGGGTTTCTCTGTGACAAGAAAGTAACTAAGATGAATAGAGTGTCCCTGCCCCCTACACTGAAATCAGTTATAAGGCTCATTTAAGGTCTTAAAAGTCCATTTCTTGTTTATTTTTGTTTGTTTGTTTTTTGACACAGGGTCTCACTATGTAGTTGAGACTGACCTGGAAATCACTATGTAGCCCAGGCTGGTCTCAAACTCACAGTGATCCTCCTGCTTCAGCCTCCCGAGTGCTGGAATTACAGGCGTGTGCCACCATGCCCAGCTCTCCATTTCTTATTTTCAGCAATGCTTACAGTTATCTAACCTACTGTCTTTTCTAGGCTATTCTAACAAAAGTGACTGGGTACTTGTTATCAACAAACTGCCTTTTCAGCCTGCCTCCATCTCCCAGGGCACAGCTTTGTCATTTCCTTCCATGAGCCAAACCATGTCAAGCCAAAGGTAGTAAAACCTCAAATTGGATCTGGTCTTTGCCATCTTTTCCATGCTGGTCACTATGCTAGTCTAGTAATGCTCCATTCTCAGCAATGTTAGATAGGTCTCAAGCATCCTCACTAAATGTTCCTAAAATGTTCTACCCCCAGTTAAGTAAACAGCAGCAATAGGAAGTGGGATAGAGAAAAAAACATGTGTGAAATGTTAATGTAGTTTTTAGGACTGGCCAGTTGTAAAGTTTGGGGAATGCTAGGTAGTACTCCTAACAATGCTTTTTCCTATAGCACTTAGCTTTGAATACTGTGAGGTTATAGCTACAATATGGTCAATGCACCTCGGTCCGTATGACATAATTCCAAATCTCTAAGAAGAGCAAATTCATGAGAACTTCCCAAGGCTCCTATCTACAACCCATGTCCGTGGGAAAAGGTGCCACACACTCTCAGGATATGTATATTCTCCTGGAACTAGCACCTATTTGTAGCAGCTTGCATCAGAAAACCACCAACTCTATAAGCCCAGACTCAACATAAATCAAAGCCACCCTCTTGATTGTAAACTCTCTAGTCATTACAAAAATAAACATCAAGAAACCAAGAGATAGCAAAATGAGTAAAATCACTGAGACCATTCAGGTTGTGGGTAAAGAAAAAATTTTAACAATATGCAGTTTTATCTCCGTAAGTATTGAGAAATGGGGAGGACTGCAGCTCTTACCTGGATCTGCAGCCCATTTAACGTAGAGCAACTGAGAGATGTTGAAAAATCACTGAAGATAAATAAATGACCTAACAAGTTTTGCTATGAAATCACAGATCTAATAAACTACTAATAAACTGTTCTTACCTGAGTATGGTTTTTTTTTTCTGTTCTGGTACTGGGGATTGAAATCAGGACCTTGTGCTTGCAAGGAGGCATGGCGCCACTGAACTAAATCCCTGGCCCCAAAAGTATGATTCTGTAAGTAGAGTGCTGGCTGACCAATTAGAAGTTCTAAAAGATCTAAACATGACAGTTACTTTGCTAGTGGACTGATACCTTCTAATTTCCTTTCCTATAGGTCACTTTCATTCTTTCTCTCCCTGCCCCCTCTCTTTCTCTTTCTTTTTGGTTTTTTTGAGACAGGGTCTCACCATGTAGTTGAGACTGACCTGTAAATCACTATGTAGCTCAGGCTGGTCTTGAATTTACATCCTCCTGCCTCAGCCTCCCAAGTGCTGGGATTATAGGTGTGTGCCACCACGCCCGGCTTTGGGTCACTTTTTTAAATTCTTTTTTTTTTTTAATAGATGCTCACTTCCTTTTTTTAGACACAGCAAGACATCAACCTCACACTTGTACTCTTTGCCCCTGATTACTTAGTATAAAAGACAAGACATAAACATTTATGTTTCTAGAATTGGAAGAAATAGCTTAGTCATTAAAAAAAAAAAATCAAATGAGAGGGCTGATAACCTTTGGTACTCTTACAAGAGAATAACGACCCTGGTCACAAGGGTATAGAGAAAAAGTAGAGTGATCCTGCTGTTTCTTCTGTTCATTCATAGCAGTAAAGCCAAAACATAGTCCCCACAGCGAGTACTCTCCTACAAAAAGCTCAACTAGCACGCCAAGAGGCCAAGAATTACTTTAATTTTTTTTTTTTAAGTTTAAATGGTAACACAACCATAAAGTTGGTACATCACAGAAACAAAGATCTTTGCAGGCAACACTGATTGGAAATAGCAAAACAGTTGGTGAAAAAAATGAAACTCTAAATTATATACAATAGTAGCTAAAGGTGATATTGAAAAAGTCTTATTTTCTGTGTGACTCGAGATTTAACTTGCCATTATCTATTGCTTATTTATTCAGCATTGTAAATAATACTTATATAGAGACATAGAGATGTGTAAAAATGAAACATTGTGAAAAAAATACAATTTTTCAATTTCATATGAAACTCAAAGTTTTGTCCAATATGGAATGCACCTACATTTGTTTAATTAGGGCTCTAAAATTCATTTAAAAAAATTTTTAAAAAAGAAATAACTGACCCACCACACAAGTTTGTTATATATCTTGCTTGCTCAAAATGAGCATTTTCTGGTGAAGTCTGTTTTTTCTGCCCAAAGTCTACTATGATTCCTTAGAGGTTGTACTGGCCCAAATGTGGAGAGTCCCCAGGAAGAATCTGATGGCAGCATCTGAATGAGGAAGGGCCTGGGTAATGGAGTATGAGAGAGAGATAAGAGCCCAAATCCTTACGAAGGATGACACTCAGTTATTAAATTTTAAGGGGTATCCAATGGCTTTTTCCAGGCATTCAACTAAAGAGCCAGCGGAAAGAAAATCCCTCTCTACTTCTACAAACTTGATATAGATGGATTTTGGGGAAACGCCAGGATCCACAATACAGTTCTGAGACAAAAACCCATTTATACCAACCCAATCTTTGCTGAAGGTTTTGGTATTTGCTTGGAAATGTAAAAATAAACACTGCTGCAGAGTCCGAACCTCAGCAATTCCGAGGTAGCAATAGATAATTCGGGTGGGTTCTATTTCCACCTGTAATGAGGCTTGTGCTGACAGGGTTTCCAGGTCAACCCTGCCCTCTTTTCCTGGGTCCACAGAATGTCGCTCCATGTGGGGTGAGAGGGGCCTCTCAATACATTCTTCATAGCCAATGGCATAAAGGCCTGGACTTTTGGGAATGCCTCCTGGCAATAAATACTGAACAACGTTCCCACCAGTTGGTTTGGAGTGGGCAATTGGTATCCAGTCGATTTCCATGTGCAACTCCAGGCACCTAGCTTCACTAATAGTGATCTCTAAAAATTTGTAGTAAACATTTTTCCAGTTCATTTTTTGCACTCGGGTCATAATGATCCGACCTTCAGGCTTTTCAGAGTTGAAGTATTCCCGAAGTCGCTTGCCAAGGGGCACTTGGGAGCTGATCTCAGCATAATGGTAACGGATATCCTCTTTCCAACGGGTATTATAACCAATTCCAAAAATGGCCAGTTTATTAGAAAGATGGAGCCTTGAAAAATCTGTCCAGCTCTGAAACAGTTCCCATTTCAATTGTACTGACTCCAAAATCTGCACAATATTCTGCATGATGTCTCGCTTCCTAGAAAGAGAAATAAACATCAAATTTCTCAGATATCTAGAATATCACTGTCCAGGAGAACTTTCTATGATGACAGAAATGTTTTGTTATCTGTGCTGTCCAATAGCCACTAGAATTTAAACTGGCTAATGTCAGTGAGGTATTAAGTATCTACTTACAGTATATTTAATTTAAAATCACACTTAAATAGCCACATTTGACTAGTGGCTTCCATTATAGATAATCATTGTATTACAAATATAAAAAATACTCCTATGAAGTTTCCAGGAATTAATGATAAACTGCCTTCTATTACTTCTATAGTTGTGCTATGTCCAATTTAATACATATTAATACACAAGACTTGAAGATTTCAGAAGTTCAAGCTTTTTTTTTGTATGTGTGGTACTGGAGCTAAGACCCAGGGCCTTCACATGCTATATTCTACACTCAACTACATCCTCAGCTTTCTTCACTTGGGATCTTCCTGTCTCAGCTTCCTGAGTGCCTGGAATTACAGGTACATGCTACCACACACAGAAATCATGTTTTTTTTTTTTTGGTACCAGGGATTGAACTCAGGATCTTGTGCTTGCCAGGCAGGCACTGTGCAACTGAGCTACATCCCTGGCCCAATCATGATTTTTTAAAGTAACTACCATAATGCCTATGATGGCTCTCCAATCTAAGAGTCAAAAAAGATGCTTTACTCAGAAGAGCATCCAGTGTCACTTAAAATAATAGGCTAATTTCTAACCTGCAAATTCTGAAAAGTTCAATAGTTTTGGCCCATATACATATGCTATAGGAAACAACCAACTATGATTAAATGACCTGACTAAAAACATTTTCTACTTGTCTGAAATGCATTGGTACTCCAAAATTTAAAAGTTAGTATAAAAATCTGAGAATTCATATGGAAAAGGTCCACATTAGGCTTAAGGGTTTTTTCCCCCCAGTACCAGGGATTGAACTCAGGGCCTCACATTCGCCAGGCAAGTGCAGTGCCACTGAGCTACATTGCCAACCCTCTAGGCTTAGATTTTCAGAGAAAAAGATTCAAGACAATGAATTGATACTATTCCAGAAAATCCCTTTCTCCCCCCATCCTTTTTGTTTTGAGACAGGGTATTTCTATGGGTTCCAGGCTGGCCTGATCCTCACAATGTAGCCCAGGCTAGCTTTCAACTTGCAGTGATCCTCCTGCCTTAAGTCTCCTGAATGCTGGGATTACAGGCATGTACCACCATGCCTGGCCTAGAAAAGTTTATAAAGAAAGGCAAAAGTACAGAAATTATTTCAATTTTGAGTTATATAGTTAACAGGGAAAGATAACTTATAACTTGAAACTGGTATTTCTAACTCATAACTTGAAACTGGTTGTTTTTTTTTTTTTGTGGTACCAGGGATCAAACTCGGGTCCTTGCGCTTGTGGGGCAGGCCATCGAACTGCTGAGCTAAATCCCCAGCCCTGAAACTGGTATTTCATATGCTTTATTACATAAATGAATATGTAAACTCTAAGTTTCTTTCTCAAGTATAGCAAAACTTTGATGGTGAGATTGGTTTATTAAATATTAATTTGGCAACAAACTACCACATTCCACATCAATTATAGTTTTAATCTACAATTATACTCATTTGTCACAACTGTTCACAAATTAAGGCAAGAAAAGAGGGTTTGCTAACAGCTTTTTGAAGAAGCTGTGAAAGACAGAACTTTGAGCCTTCCCTAAATTTTCATCCTCAAGGGAAGGAGTTTTTGGAACATTCTGGGAAGGCTACACATAACCATTCTGTGACTGCTTACCCCTCTCGACTGTCTGTGAGATGATGATGAAGAGCAAGGGTTTTGTTATCAGCTGCTTCTTTAGCCAAAGACCGCCTTAAGTTTATCCTTATACTTTATCTTAAAGGCTTCTCAAGTGTCAAACTAGCCACCTATATAAAATCACTGTATTCCCAGGGAACTGTTCCTCTAATCAGAGGAAACAAAACACTAGATGACTTTTAAAATTATTTGACTGTGTTGTTTGGGAGGCCGTTACTTTCTGTGTGGCACTTTAAAGGAACTCTTTTGTACCTACCATCCTTCCTTGGCCTTTTATGAGATGGTTTATCAATCTCAAGGAGAACTACACCAGTGAGTTGGGATGGAGCAGCAATTTGTACCTGCTTGCTCACTGACGTATCTTAATGCCTGACACACAGTAGGTACTTGATAAACATGCACTGAATAAATGAGCACATTAGGTGATTATTCTTGGTGGATGAAAATGTTATATTTTACTACAGGTAATGTCAGCTCAGTTAATTCTACATATACCTAAGGAGGGAAAAAAAATCCACTGCCCCAAGAAGTTATGTTACCCAGCACCGTCACAGTCCTACATCATTAATGTTAAAGCCAGACACTGCAAAAAATACTTCTGAAAAAAAGGACTGCAATGGGAAACAGCCTATCAGGAAGCTCTTCAGAACTTCTCAGACCCTGAGCTAAAACCTGGAGAAGTGACAGCACAGCCTGGAGAATCCTCCAAAGCCTGTGAGTTTCCTCCCTGGAAGACCATGGCCCCATGCTGCTCTGAGTCCAAGGTTCATATCAGAGTTCTGAAGTTAAGGGGTCATAGTGACAACTAGACCCAGGAATTTAATAGCTCCTGAACAATATCTCTTGGTTTCCAAAGTTGCAATTACCAAGAAAGTTCAAGTGGTTTAAGGCTGGTGATACCAACTCTGTATGAAGCTTGAGTTTATACCCAGTTATACCAACTGGGCCTCCCCTGCAGGTCCAAAGTGGCTGTTAGGGAGAGAGAGGACATTTTAGTGGAACTGCCAGTAGTTTATTTTTTAGGGAATAGGAATTTGAAGTTATAGACTTGTAATAACTTACTTTTAAAAAGTTTCCTTTCCTTTGGTGCACTTTGATGTCACACTTTTGCAAGGTAACTAATTCCCATAAAGAGATGGTCTTAAACTTACTGATTTGTGTCATAAATTTTCACTGAGGAGCAAGGATAATGACTACAATTTTGGGAAGCAAATGATGCCTGAATGTCAGCACACCTTCTCCCCAGTAACACTAGGAATTCTTTGATTTCAAAAATGCTCTGAAAAAGAAATGAAGTTCACAAAAGGGTAATGGCAGTAGTGGTAGTTTGCTAAATAAAAGCAGTACACCTTTGCTATACCACTTATTATCCATCATTTTCCTTTTTTTCTCACCTTTTGTTTTTTTCTTCACTGTCTCTCAAACATTAAGATATCATGGTGGAATGAAAGACAAACTGCCACCTATTTTTAACTTTTAATGTATTTTCTTCAATAGATTTAATTAAGAACTTACTTAATGTTACTAGAAAATGCACTGTAGGGCTTGCAAGCACAAGGTCCTGAGCTGGATCCCCAGTACCAAAATATCTAGACATTCACATTCACATGTGGGCAAATACCATCAACACGCTTATTTTTATATAGTACATTTATTTCTTGTTGTATATAAAGTTTTCAACATTTCACATCACCACTGGAAAATTTAAACTAGAAGATAAGAAAGAAACAAACATGCTGGGTGTGGCAGTACATGCCTGTAATCCTAGCACTCAGAAGGTTGAGACAAAAGATTTGCTGTCTGGGCCACACAGGGAGTCAAGGCCAACCTGAACTACAAAGCAAGACCCTGCCTCAAAGCAAACAAACAAAAGAAAAAAAGAATAGGTACACTTCCTAGTGGTACAGCTCTAATTCTCACAGCAAGTCTAGTTATTTTCTGATCCTCCCAACAGTCATTAAACTTAGGCAGACACTTTGTGGAAAGGTGAAGCATCTACTTACTGTGCCTCTTCAGAAGACTCCTGTTTAATTTTTAATGTTCTCTTTGTGACAGGTATTTCATCTGAAAGGCAAAGATTTTGGGACAAATTATATTTTTTCTAAGTGGTAGTATACATTCATTTATGTAGATAAGTAACTACATTTACTATACATTTCCATACCAGGATTTCATTCTAGTGCCCAGTATTGTCCAATGCCAGATTTATATATGTAACTTTTATATGAGAATGTATACATTTATATGCAAGATCAGAAAGCAGTTCTACAAATACAAATTCAAGGACACCAGTGGATTTCTAGGCAGGAGCTTAAAACTTAATTTTATCGTAAACATGATTTTAAAAGAAGAATGAGAATAATTTTGTTCTGTTTAGATTGTCTATCAGTTTTACAGTGTAATTATTCCCCCAATACCAGGATCAGCATGTTTTGTATGCTATCCCATCAAAGGTTTGGTAACTTAACTTTCTATGGCAAAACCAGTGTTATGGGATGCCAAAGTAATTTAGACATTACTCTTGTGAAATTAAGAGGCAGTGATCATTTAGTATCTGTCCCTCTTATTCTTCTAATCTTTAAATCTCTTTCCTACATATTAGTCTTAGCTTTTAGCCTTTCTTCTCTTCCAATATTTGAGAAAATAAAAACAGAATTCTTAAGAATTATATTGTTAATTCTTTTTTATTTTGAATTAGCATTTCTCTATCATAAGGAATCCTATAAAAATAGTGCCTTAAGCTAGGGTAATACTTTTATAGTGTCAATTCTACACATGCTTCCTTGGGGACCTTGAATGTCTCACTGGGAAAGATGAATATTTACTTAAAAAGTGAGGGCTCATGAGACAACTTACTGTTAATATACAGTGGCTCCAACAGAAATCTGATCAGTACTTCCAGATTATGAAAATCAAAACTGAAGTACTTAATGCAAAAAAACTACTTATAGACTCTTAACTACACTTTAAAATTTAGATTTGACGGACAGGCATTTCACTTTCCGTCTGGATATCTTTACTGTGTACCAATCATTCTGCTACTATTGGGATGGGATACCTTAAGAAGTCTGAAGGAATATGATCACCAATGTAGCCTAGATATCATCTCAAGTCAAGGCTTCCTCTTATTTTTTGTTTAGACTAAAATCTGGGAGAGGACCTTTCCCACATGGCAGGCATAAAAGTATATGGAATGAGGGAATGAAAGGATAGATTCATTTATGGAAGTTGAGCCACAAGTCAATACTCTAGCAGGAATCTTACAATTAGAAGGTGCAAGGTAGAATCAAGTAAGATTCTACCTACTACAGGGCCTCCTTCTGTAGCTCAGAACTAGGGACTCTTCTGTCCTTAGGAATCTTGATGGTACTCAAATTATCAAGCACTAGCTAGATGTTTAAGGGTAAACCGAGGAGGCCCACATTCCCCAAACAGATTGGTGATATGCCTTGTGACGACAATGGGAACAGTATCACAAAGCATCACTCACAACAAGAAGTGTTACATATACCAGGCACGCGCGTGCGTCACACACACACACACACACTCACACTCACAGAGTTCTCATATATAGTAGCTTTCTTACCCAATTCCTGATCTGTTGGATAGCCATGGAGATCCTGACTGTGGTTTCCCCAGTCCTCCTGTGAATAGTCCTCCATAGTGCTGCCATCTGACTCCAGCTCCTGGTACAAGCCACTACTGTTAATAAGTACAGGCTGGCAGGGCTGAGCATCCCATCCTCCCTGACCAAACACCTGTTCCAACTGTTCAAATGTGTAACTGCTCTTTCTTTTCCCAACACCATGTTCTTTCACCCGACTGTAACACCTGCGAAGGGTCTAAGACACAAAGTCTTTTGTTATTCCTTTAAAGCTGTACTTCCTCTTCCAGATACGGACCACAGATATTAATTACTATTAGACAGACACAGACAGACAAACACAGACACATTGTTACAGGAATACTAGATTTCAAATTCATTATTATATTAGAAAAATACTAATATAGCATTTACTCAAACATGTTATAATTCAAACATTTTACAATTAATTATCCATTAAACAACAAGAAACATTAAAACATTATTGCATGTATCCCATACACATATTTTATACCCCCTCCCCCATTTAAAAAAGACTAAGGGGAAGAAAAAACAAGAAATACCAGCCAGCCAATAGGATGCACACCTGCCACAGAAGAGAGAGAGTTGCTATGTGCCCAGAATTTGGAAAAAGTGAGGGAAGGAGGACAGAAAGAAGAATTTCCCAAAGCAAAGAATATCTTCCTTATTTTTGATTAAGAAAGAAATGCAGGGTTAAAAAAAATTGCCTAAACAAACTACCTAATAAAGCATATATTTACATAGTCTACTCCTTATTATTTCACTATCTTTGTGGAAGCTGCTAAAATTTAATACAGAAGGCAAATCAATAACACAAGTTCCCAGTCTTAGACATCAATGACTGAGGAGTACACTATTTCTACAAATCCAAAAATAATACCTAAATACATTTTACTAGTCTACCAACTCATGCTAAACAACCAAACAAGACCAATAGTTTCTTTTCTTAAAGGAGGATGAAATAAGAAAATTATGTTACTTCTTTTTCTGTCACATGCATACAACAAATTATCAGCAAGCAAGTCCACAAATAAAACTAAATAATTTCATTATACTGTGCAATCCTTCAATTTTTTCCCATGGTCTTTATTTCTAATGCATATTTCTGATTACTAGCCCAGCTTCCTGAGTTTAATTTACATCTTATCGTATCTTGTATGATATTTCAAAAGATAAGAAATTAGTCCCAGCTTCCAAATTTAGTCACATCCAAGTTTTATTCCACCTCTGCCTCCTTTTGTTCCTTCTAATCTCTCTTCAATGTTATGTGTTTCACAGAATTTTGAGAGATGAGACTCTTTTCTCTAGTGGCTTCCAAATATTATCTAACTCAACTACCTAAACCCAGCTCACCTCTGACTTAATTTATAGGCATTAGCATGACTAGAAAGTTTTCGTAAAGCTGAGATACTTTCCATAAGTCAATATATCACCTAACTAAAAAACTCTCAACAATCTTCATAGATCTGTGAAAGTTCATTATCTTTAAATCACAGATAACAACCTACAAAACACTCTGTCAAGTACTTTATAAACCTATTCCTGGGGACCAGAAATAATAATAGTCAAAAGTAAAAAAGAGTACGACATACAGGATCTTCCTTAGACACAAATGGAGCAGAAATCAATCACCTGCCTTAGAACCAACCAGTCTGCCTCTAGCGCAAGCACCTGACCCATTTTCCCTTTCTTCAGACTTCTTTTAGTACCCCAAATAATGCTCAGAAATGAGGTTTCCAATAATGCAGTCTTTTAAAAAAGTGTTTCTTCTTTCTTTTTTTAAAGGACAGCCACAACCACATTAAACATAACTTACTAGGATAAACCAGACACATGATTTCGGGAAATAAGTGTCTTACAATGGAAGGAGACAAATGCCACAGCAATCTCATCTGACTATCTACATACTCCCCCTTCCCAGCACCCTCTGCCCTTTTTGCAGGGACGGGAATTTGTATTGCAAACATCTCCTGCCAATTTATTTTTATCTCATAATGTCTAGTTTCTGCCTCCAAGAACACCCCAACCACTCTTTTCAACTCCTTCAAGGTCCATAAATGGAGAGTCCCAACTCTGTCCCTTTTACCCTTCCAATGCCATAAATGGAGATGGAAACTGTGCCACTGTTCCTTCTTTCTAGCTGCCTAGAGAAAAGTATTTAGCACACCAAAGAGCTCAGTAAAGTCTACTCAGCTCTGTCACTGAGAGTTAATTCACAAGTAAAGAAATAAAACCAATGTTCCTTTGAAGGAAAGGATCATACTTGTTAGGAAATGAAATATATGTAAGAAAAGCCCCAATTTTTGATAGTATATGTGGTGAGAAACAAAAAAGACTCCTTCTCTTGGAAACCATCAAATTGAGCTTAGAATTTCACTTGATTTATATAATTGTAAATAACAAAAGTAACAATATTTAATGACTATAGATATAGAAGAGTCAGGCAATATGTTTTATATATCACCATAAAAGGCTAATGGATCTTACCACCTCTTACAGTATACTTTTGTAAAATATTTTTATAGAGCAATATGCTGATATATATAAAATATGTGGTGCCTGAAGGGAAGATAACTCCTATATCCATATAATAGTAATCTGATGTGTTGTAATAATGTTTAAAAGATTTTCAAATTGACTTTAATTCTCTCAAGATATAAATATACATAAGAAGCAACTTCTGTTTCAGTAAAGACCACAAATTAAGTTGGTCTATTAAATATACATCAACTAAGATAGAAAAAAGAAGAATTTAAACATTAGCTTCATTGCTACTATAAAGAAACACTGGGATTTTAAACTTAAGAGAGCTCAGAAATTGATAAAAAAGGATGTATGGAGATTATCATCACCCACAGTAAAATCAGAAAAGATTACACATTCTACATTCTCACTAACCAAAGCATATGATTAAAAGAATAGGTATCTGCATCGGCAGTCTTAAATAAACCAACTTAAAAATGTACTCTAAGTCTGAGATTAAAATGCTCCAGATTCCAGGCAAAACAGTGTCACCTTCCATCCCAGACAGCTATCAAATCCAACAGAACCTCAATTTGGCTGTCTTGGGAGCCACATACATCCTACTCAACACAAAACCTTGTTTCCCTTCCTTTACCTCACTTATCTTAGAAAGTTATAGCAATTTAAGCTCTGATTTGTCTTCACAAAGGTCTTGGAGAAAATGGATAACGTGCTTAAAATTATTATCAACGACTATACTATGCATGATTAAAAGTTATAACATTCCTTGTTATAAGAAATTTTGGGGGTAAACTGATATTATGTTTGCGTCTCCTCCTTGGAGGAAAAGCCGTGAGATAAGAAGGATAGAACTAAAATAAAGATAAGTTCATCAGATGTTCCATCCCTAGGAGTTTATGGATATCTGATTTGCAAGAAATGCGAGGTGAATATTTACTAAAAATTTCACCATTACAAATACTTAACTACAAAAGGAGAAGAACCAGAAGAAAGATTTAGAAGATGTCCCCATTACCAAAGCAGGGAGAAAAATAAGATGGCCGACAAATGACAATTTATAGGACAGCATGAAAAGTTTTGTCAAAGTTTAAGATTAGAGTAAAAGGAAATGAGAGAGTAAAAAGATGACATTCATTGTGGATGAATGCACAGGGAGTCTATGGGGTAGTGGGACAGGTAAACAAAGGCAGGAGTTTAGATTGGCAGGATTGGGGACTTTACGGTAGCAATGCAGAGAAAGACCCAGGGTTACAGTACACGTAACATTAAATACAGTGCACAATGCAGCTATCTTGCCAAAGTAAGTAAATCCAGTATTGGGTTGTATAAGCAGAGGAATCACATGTAAGCTATGAAGGTGGCTCTTCCTCTCTATTCAGCACCGGTGAGGCCACAGCTGGAACACAGCATTCAGTTCTGGGCATCGAACCAGCTACAAGAGAGGGAAATTGTAGAGTTCAGAAAAGGGCAAATAAAATAATGAAAGGCTTGGAAAATAAGATCTATAAGCAGGGCCAGTGGTTTCATCAAAGCCCTTCCTGACATTATTAAGTTAATTTTGGGGTGAGATTATGGTTTCCTTCCCTTCAGTCTCTTATATTCCCTCCTTCAACTTTCAGGAAATGGGAAGAATTTAATTCTCCCCTGGTATTGCAAAGTAGGGAGTAAACTAAATAAATCATGGAAGCATAGATCAACCAGTTCCACTATTGGCTCAATAATTTTCTCAAAGTCTCCCCCATTTCATACAATCAAAATAATTATCACAACAAAACCACAGCTCTAATTGAACAGAACATGAGTGGAACAGAGCATCTAATGGGAAGGAATAGAAACAGGGTGCAATAGCTATGTACATGTGCTGTTTAGAAAACATTGACCTGATCAGTCTAGGATGTCGGATGAAAAAGTCAATCTGCAGGGAGGACAGCTTAGTTAAAACAGCAAGAAACAATGTTATAAGAAAAAAAAAGCAATGAAACAGATTTTCAAATGTAGTTATCAAACTGGCCATATTAGAAATGGATTTCATACTTATCTTAGTCCTCTGCCAACTAACCATGATAAATCAGTAATTTCTTTAATCCAAATGATTAAAGAATAAGTTTATTTGTAATAAAAGCCTTAAGAATCACAGGTATTTGGGCTGGGAATTTAGCTCAGTGGTGCTGCCACCTGCCTCGCAAGCACAAGGACCTGAGTTCAATCCCTGGTACCAAAAATCAATCAATCAATCATTAAATAACATGTACTAAATAAGAGATGGGGAAATCACACTGAGGATTAATCTCCAGTGACTGATTTTCTTATAAAAGTGTGAAAAAACAATAGCTCAAACTAAGGCAGATGGCTATTTTGAAGCAAAAAAAAGTTTTCACAAAGTAGATAATTTGTCTTTCTTTAAAATTATGCAATTGCTGCTATTACTACTTGCTCTTAGTTAACAGACATCAAAACATGTTTAATATTTTTAAGACTTAACATTTTTTTAATTAGCTGTATTGTTACTGTAGGAATGAAAAAAACTTAAAACAGAAATAATAAACACATTTCTGCACATAGTAAGGGAGATGTTAAGACTCCAGTATAAATTCCTACACATAACTTGACACAAGAGCTATAAACTAGTGACAAGAAAGGCACCTAAGGCAAAACCTCGTGGGGCCATCAGAACTTTTACTGCTCATTTTATTAGGTTTTAGGTACATTAAATATGTCAAACTAACTTGCCAAATGCCTTAAGTCAGTGGAAGTGAAGCTGTGGCATGAGTGCCACAGCGGGTTGTTTGTTATTACTGAAATCTCTAAAAGGATCTCCATCACTGGCCTAAATGTTTTAAAATAAACTAAAAGAAAAACTTCAACAAAACAAAACCTAAAAGAAAAGTATAGCAAATTTATTTCACACTCCCTCAATTCTTAGTCCTACAGAGCAAGTTTCAGAAAGTAAAAAAACTGTTTCATTCTTTTCCTTTTCATCTCTAGCACAGAGGTTCTTACCCTCTTTAGGTCACAGATCCTCTCCCCAGAAAAATTCACACACACACCAATTGTTTAATGAGCCTATACAAGAAGCTCAGCTTAAAAATCTCTGCCCTATACTATGTCAGTTTTTCTTAAAAGATTTTAACATACATTAACCAGAAACCCTAAAATAAGGTAGAATTAATTTGTATATAGATATTCTAAAGATTGGCACAACCAGTTTAAATACAATTAACCAATCTGCCCAGTATCTTGCTCAATTAGATAAAGCACATTTGTATTTTCTTTAGGAAATAAATTTAGTCAAATCCACCTTTCTTTTTTTTTCTGTTAACTTTCCCTTGCTATAATATACTTGAGATAATCAACTTTGTTTCCTTTTTTTATTAGTATATATTTTGACACATAATGATGGCATTCACCTTGGGGAACTGGTACATTTATCTTTCCTTCTTAAAGAGAAGGGTTCTTCTCTCACTACACTGCCCAGGATGGTCCCAAACTCCTAAGCTCAAGAGATCTTCCTGCCTCAATCTCTCAAGTAACTAAGACTACTATAGGGGCACACAACCATGCCCAGCACTACCGTTTCTTGAAGGAAATAATTCCTATCAATAAAAGCACATGAAGATCCAACTTTACTCTTCAGAACGAGGCAACATTTTTCAGTTGCTGGGCAAGATATCTTTTCCAAAGTACTAATTAAGCAATATTAAAAATTCATTCATTATGCTGATTATCTATTATCTAATTGTATCCCACAGTACTTGATCATTCATTAATTGATGTATCAATACACATGCTATTACTTAAGGTACTAACTTAAAACAGGAAAGTCTACACATCCAGAAACAAGTATAGGAGACTAAGTATTAAATACCTTCCTGGGTGGTCCCCATAACTAGTCTCTCACATCTTTCCAATTCAACACTGCCTGAGGGCTGAAGGACTGCTTAAGAATAGGCAATGTCTATACTAATTCAGTCCTTCAACTGGTGGAATCACAGCCTCATCTACTGCTCCATTGAAATTGCATGAATCACGTATATTGATGTCTTATCTAGTAGGAGAAATGGGCCTCAATCTTTGTCCTTAACTCATCTGACTTCCCCTGCAGTTCCTGATTCTCTTCATCCTCTATTCATATCACTCTACTTGCCAAATCTTTATAAAACTTCCTGTACAATGCACTGATCTACAGGGGGTAGGTGGAACTTCAAGGGTCTGGTTGCAAACCAGGGTCTAAATTTTGGGTGGGGAAAAAACCTTAAAGAGCACCTAGACCAACCTCTGACTTAACAATGAGGAACCAAGGCCCAAAGATGAGTATTCCTTCAAAAGGTATTTGGCATATGAAAAACTAGCAAATGCCACTCACAAAATTTTGATGTTGCCTAAGAAAGCTATTTTACTAGATTGTAAGCTCCAAGGATTTTGCTTATCGCATTTGTCTCTATTCCCTTGTGCCTAGAAGAATGTCTAGCACAGATTATTCCATATATATTTATTAAGCATATGAACTAAGCTTAATGTTAAAGTAATGAATCACTAGCAAGAGATTTTTTTTTCAAGCAAAGATATTTAGGAGATTCACCATTTAACCAGAACATATTACATTATTTATAAAATCAGCGAAGTTAAAGCTGATAGAGCTCCTAAAATCTTTTTTAAAAAGCAGGAGCAAAAAAGAGTATAAAATATAAATACAAATAGTACTAGAAAAACTAATTTCTTTGTAACAAAAGAAGGCTTACTGCAGAGCGCTATTTTTAAAATATCTATTCTTGTTCCAGCTTTCTTTCTTTAAGGAGGGGAGCCAGTTACTTGCCAATAGGAAGCCCTTTCCTTTTTTTTTTTTTTTTTTTTTTTTTTTTTTTTTTTGTACCGGGGATCGAACTCGGGTCCTTGAGCTTGGAAGGCAGGCGGCAGAACCACTGAGCTACATCTCCAGCCAAATTTTGTTATTTCTTATGCCTTACAAATAAGACCAATATTCAAGAATATACAGCCGGGGATGTGGCTCAGTGGCACTGTACCTGCCTGAAAACTCAAGGCCCTGAGTTCAATTTCCAGTATGGAAAAAAATATATACAGTATTTCTATCAAAGACAGAAAGGGAGGAAAGCTCAATTATTTCCTGGATTTTAATAGGGTCAAACAGAAGAATGACCACCAAACACAAAGATCTCTTACCTCTCAAAGCCTTAGCCTTTGTCTAGAATTATATGCTATTAGTTTGTACTCCATTCTTATGAAACACTCACTCACTGGGTTTATAAGTGGCCTGGACCGTCTTCAAGAGGTGAGATTCCTGCATAAATACATAATTCAGGAAATCTGGTTCTCAAGAATATCAAGCCCTAAATTTTATAGGTTACCTGAAGAGAAAAAACCATTCAAGGAGGACAACACTAACTGACTCTAACACTGTCCATTGCTCACGGAACTACATTCATGCAATCATAAAACTTTAACCCTACACTTTCCATACTTCACATGGATATTCATACAATTATCTCAGATTATCAGCAACAAGGGAAAATTCATACTTAATATGTTTATATGTAGAAGGAACTCCTCTGGGATTCAAGAATCCTTCTAAACATAGGATCCTAAATGCTTCTTTACAAAACAGGTCAAAAAATTAAAGTGAAAACGTTCTAGATATAAACAGCAGGTAGCTATAGTCACCAAAGATGGGCAAACACTATTTGTCTGGAGAACATGCCCCCTCACCGAAAGGGGAAAAAAATCAGTTTGCTGAAAAACTGCCTTGGTCTAGAGGTTACTTTCATATCACCTATATAACCTCTGAAGGTGTTTTATCAGCATCCTCTTCAATCTTTTGCTCTACATGCTACACCTCCAAGTACTATTTGGGTTACACTAAAAATGTTATTAGTACATGATATCTAAAAAGTACATTTACGGGCCAGGGATTTAACTCAGTATTGCCGCTGCCAGCTTTGCAAGCACAAGGTCCCAAGTTTGATCCCTGGCACCAAAAATACATAAACAAACAAACAAATAAATAATTTTTAAAAAATAAAAAGCACAATAGGAAAATTACATAAATGTACCTGGCCTAGCAGAAGTGAACTATTACTTTCTCTCTCTTTTTTTTTTTCTTTTTTTTTTTTTTTTTTTTGGAGACAGGGTCTCACTATGTAGTTAAGACTGACATGGAACTCACTGTGTAGCCCAGACTGGTCTCGAACTCACAGCGATCAGCCTCCCAAGTGATGGGATTACAGGCATGCATCAACACGCCTGGCAAACCATTCCTCTTTGAAGGTCTCCTATATAGCTTATATTATGAACTAATTACTCTACAAACAACCATACCTAAAAATTAAAAACTGAAAAGACACATACAATTAAAAAAAACTCTCAAATATCTTTACAGCATTGTACTGATTCCAAAATACAAAGCAGGCCTTCTATTCTTAGGCCAGTGTTGTTTTGTTTTGGTACTGGGGATTGAACTCAAGACCTTGTGTTTGTGAGGCAGGTGGTGGCACTAATGAGCTAAATCCCCATCCTATCTTAGACAGAGCAGGTTTTTTCTCTCAAATTATAAGCCATTTTATTCCTTTCATACGTCATGTGATTATCTCAGTTTTGTATTTTTCTAACCCAAAATTGCCATCTATCATAACCTAAAATATGAAATTTTTCATTATAAAATGTACACACACACACACACACACACACACACACACACGGCTATCTCAAGAGACATGGAGGAGGGTTGGCCAAAAATACAGACATCAGGAAAACAAAAACTTGTATAAATATTTTAATACTAAATCTACTGAGACATAATGAGATCAATACAAGCTACGTCTCGCCTCTATATTACAACAGGTGCTCAATGTGGTGGACATTACTTTCCAGACATTTATTACTGCAGCAAACTGAAGTGCGTGTACATTTTTTGGCTCTCTCTCTCCCTCTCTTCCTCCCTCCCTCCATTTCTCTATATATGTGTGTGTATATGCGTATGTGTGTGTGTCTGTATGTATATATGTATGTATATATGTATGCATGTATAAAAAGAACCCAGATGTTTAGATGTTCACCCGAAAACTAAGATAACTAGAAATCCTCATCAAGAAGACATCTGGGTACCAAAATTAATTTAAATCACAACATATAG